ACATTGAGCTAATTGAAGCTGTTCAAAATAATTAACGCTGGAGAATACTCTGGTCAACTACTGCATTACCTTTGTATTACATGTGTTCTAAAAGAAAATCATTTTTACTCTAATTCAAACAATTTATCGTTGTATAGCATAATCGTATTGATTAACCTTTCATTTTGAGTTGTGTAACATGAATGAAACAGAAATATTGATTATTCTCTGTTCACACCGGTGAAATACTAATAATACTTAGTATAGTTTAGCCAAATAAAATGAACCTACATCTACTACTAATGATAACAATAGTAACACTATACATATACATACAAAATCCTAGCCACACACACACACATACACAGAAAGACATATCTAAACGAATACAAAAATCAACAAATATGTACATTAGTTATCCAAAAACTGATAAGGTAATTTTAACACAATTTCTATGAAGTAACAATTTCTATTTTATAAGCAAAGATGGATAGTGGCTAGCAGTGGAATCCAGGACGCGCGTTTCGTCCTGTTTGGGACTCGTCAGCTGGATGGGAAAATTCAAGTAAAACAATATCAAGTGAATTAAACTTCAACCCATTGCACAAGCAAGTGGCTATCAGGACTCAGTAGCTAAGTGGATAACGTGATGGCGTTTGAAGTGAACGGTACTGAGTTCGAGTCCCAGAGTGAACATCAACTCTGAGATGCAGGTACATCCAGCTGACGAGTCCCAAACAGGACGAAACGCGCGTCCTGGATTCCACTGCTAGCCACTATCCATCTTTGCTTATAATGCTTGTAAATTAAGGCAATATCGAAGCATACGCACAGTATGCACATATGCCAATAAGAGACTGATCAATTTCAGTCCAAAAACATCAATGGGAAGATTCAAGTAAAACAATATCAAGTGAATTAAATTTTTATTTTATTCTAAATGTATAAAGTTATATATTTTCCATAATAATTTTAGTATAAATACAACTCTATGTAATATAAATAAGACCGAAGTGTTGAAAATACATACCGTCAGTTAATTAAATAAACAATGAGTTTAATAGATCATACAAATGATTAATTAAAGGAAACCATTGAAAATGCCACTTGTTATAACATTTGATTTAATCTTTTACTTTATATTTTCCTGAGCGTAAATAAGCAATAGAGATAGAGAAAATTTAAAGTTCAGATTTGGATACTTTTAATGTTGTTGAATCCTTCATAAGCTAGATGGTCTAATTACTTAGATTTTGTAGTTTAGAAAAAGCTTTTTAGTTATTTCATAAGTGTTAAATTAGTTAGTCTTGATAACTTTACTTTGTGATCATTTGTCTCTGTACATTTCATTTGCTATGCAAGTTTGTCGCAGAGGAAACTAACAGTTGTGGAATAATTAAAAAAGCTCAATTGTACATAAAGTAGAAGGTGGTGATATTGTCCGGAATAATAATGAATGCTGCAAAATTAAGCCAACTAACCTACAGAACTCAACAATGCCAAACGTAAATAAGTAATAATACTAATAATAATGAGAATTAATTTAGGAAAATAATTTTGATATTTTTCAAGTTAAACAAATATCATGAGAAAGACAGTTATTTGTACACTGAATGTTTTTACGCAGTGTATAAGCAACAAATCCTGTTAAAAAATATGTGTGTTCAGTGTCATGTAAATTTCAATTATCAATTATTATTCATCATTATAAAGTCAAATTAAACTACCCGTTTGTAGACTGCATTACTTGTTCATAATTCATCTTTGAAGTAATGCCTATTCAAAGAATTAATAAAGTCATAAACACATGCTTCATCAAACAAAAGATTTTCTTGACTTGCGTAGCAGTAAGTCACTTGTTAGTTTATCTCTTGACTAAATAATAATAATGTGGTCTCAAAGCACAATCTGTTTGGTCAACCGATATTCTTTAATTTTGACGTGTCTCATATTGCTGTTGAATTGTGATATAAAGTCAGGGTACCGGATTTCTCTAGGAGAATATTTATCGGATTTAGGTTTCAATACGTCCGTTATCGGTTTACGATCTTTATCAATCATGAATCATATACCTTCTAACATGTATCGGAAGTGCTTATTAACATGGTAGATTGTGAGAAGTTTCTATTTGAAAAAGAAGTAACTAGTTTCTGTGAGAGATAGTCGCTTTTACAAGACGCTGGTGATTACTGTGAATTTTTGACTAATTGGTTGAGGACACTCTAAAGCACCTACTATTTAGGCAAGTGGGAAATTAAAGTCAACGGAGTCTCGATATTAGAAGTATTTCTTTTGCTTGTTCGCATCAGAATTCAATGCTTTCATGGAGAAACGTCTATTTTGATCGAATTCGGTAGCTTCGAGTACTCCATCTAGTGTCACATATAATGTGGTTGGTACAGATTTTGGGGTAGGAATATCAAAAAGACGGATGAACATTATTTATAATTGACATTACTCATGGATTTTTCTCTTCAGTTACATATTTGGAATGATAATCTTGGTGAGCGAAATATTGTAGCGTGCTAGTGATTCTACTATATTCGCATTCTAAGTAATTGATTTGCTCTATTTTTGGTTTTGATAAGCCGGTAGAAGTTGAATTCATAGTTCTCTGTTCCTTACACTTAGTCATAATCCTACCAAGCCTAACGATTAGGGTCCGATGCATTAGCATAGATAATGATGATAATAATAATGTATTTCTAATAAGCGAGATATACACCAATTTTATTGACATGACCAATAATTTTCAAAATGAGTTTATATATTAGACATTATTCCATTAGGGTCAACCTAAGTACTTTATGAGTAATTGGAGTACTGTATATCATTTGAACAGTCTCATATCTGCTTCAATATTTTTAGAATATGATTGTGTACAACAAATATCAGTCCATGGTGAATATTAGCTCTGAATTAACAAGGTTATTATATATTTCTATTTTAATGCAAATTAATTAACTTCAAAATGTTTATTTTTAAGTTTTACTTTATTGACCCTCCTCTCCCCAAAAAAAGATTGGTAGCCCAGAATTGATTTCATGAGAAATCACTGAGGGGAATTTAAACTAGAATGAGATATCTGCTTTAAATTGATTAGAATTTTTAAAAAAATCTTAAAACAATTTCATGTTTTCTCTAAATCAATCCCTCCTGGAGCCTCTCTAGGGCTACTGCTAATCTCAAGCCCAGATAAAGGAAGAGTGTTGGTCATGAGATTAGTGACCTTATCCGATAGAAAACTAATTCACTAAAAAAAACACGAACCAGAAAAAATATAATTCAAACCATTTCCTCTAAATCAACTTACTGTCTTTATTATTATTTATAGTTAATACATAGAAACATTATACTAACTATAGACAATTAAATTCATCATATAGAAAAGAAATAAAAACCAATTATTTATTTATTATTGATTTGTTGTGATTATTGTCATTTTAAATGATTGGATACTAAAATAATAAACAATATTATAGATTCATTTTTCATGTTCATTATTCTACTCATGTGATTTACACAAAAATGTTACCTTCACAACAAAGTGTATTCATGAATTTTTAATGAAAAGAATAAGTAAAAAAAAAATCAACATCATTTTAGTCTACTTAACATAAATTAACATTACTTCTTACTTTATTGAAATTTATAATCACTGATAGTAATCTATGTTAAGAGGTGATTAAGTACATGATATTGTACTTTTTATTATGTATTTTGAGAATATTGTTTACATTTCAATGATACTTGATAAAGTAATTCATATATCTAACATTAATCATACATTTTTTTGAAAAATAAAAAAAAAGGATTCTTTCTATTCAAAGTAATAGCTGTTTGGAATTATTGCCTCATTGGCATTTGTATGTTAACTATTATTTATATTATTATTATCAGAAAGCATTTGAATGATCCTATTGTTGATATTATTAGGTAAATTTAAATAGGTGCATAGAGTTATTTTATAAATATCTTATCACAAGTGGCTAACAATGGAACCCCCCCCCCCCCCCGCAAAAAAAAGAATGAGTTTCATCCAGATCCAGATCCAGACTGGATCTTAGCGTTACATCCTAATGGGAGCATCAGTATTGATATACAAATATATACAAGAGAAATCTAGTTAATTTTTATAATCAAGTAAAACATAATCATACACTAGACTATTGTTCTAAGTCATATAGATCATGGAAAAAATTATATACCAACATAGATACGTATAGAATATTAGTTAATAAATTTAAACAATATAGTGAATATGTAAATATTCAAAGCATCATACTTTCATAAACTAACTACCCTATCCTATATATTTAATCAATCAAAAAATCTACAATGAATATGTATATACTCTTAAATAAATCATAAACAAAACATTAGTAAATAAAAATTTATTCTTATCAGAATGTGTTTTGTGAAGATTTTTAGAAATTTTCACAGATTGAACTCATGAGTCAGTTGAAGCTAGACCACCATTGAAAACCTGGAAGCACTAGACGACCGTTTCGTCCTAGTATGGGGCTCCTCAGCAGTGCGCATCCACGACCCCGCACCACCCGGGGCTCGAACCCAGGTGGCTGGATGCGCACTGCTGAGGAGTCCCATACTAGGACGAAACGGCCGTCCAGTGCTTCCAGGTTTTCAATGGTGGTCTAGCTTCAACTGACTCATGAGTTCAATCTGTGAAAAATTTATTTCCTTGAAAAAGTTTGGATTAGATTGCCAGATGAAACATTGAATTAACTTCAAAAATCATTCGATAAAATTTTATAAATCCATTCTTCCTTTTTGATGTTTCACATTAACTCAGTACCCAAATACTATGAATCTATTCGATCAAATTTAGACGAAAATTCTTATTTATAAATGAATTGTTTCTCTATCGAAAGTATACGTGATCTATTAATCATTGTTTATTATATACGACTATTTTAGAAAATACTTAAAACGAATAGAATAAAATCTAGTAAAACAAAACAAAATGATTATATAACTTCAGAAAAAATCAAATTACTCACCAAAACCACCTTCAATTATTGAAAGAAAATAAAACAGATTACAATTATGTAATACATTGAATTGAAAACTTTTATATATAACTTTTTCAAGAGTAATGACCTTCAAGTAAAAAACAATTTTTATTGGTTAATAAAATATTGATTGTTCATTGGTTGAAATAATATAATTTTCGTCAATTTATGATAAAGATAATCGAAATAAAAATAGATACTTTTAATTTTTTTTAGACTTTCTATTACATTCTATAAATAATTATTACATTTACAATTTGGTAAATGCAGACTGGATTGTAAAAACAAAAAAGGGTAATATCTATTTCACTGGTTGAAATCATGAGTCAATTGAAGCTAGATCACCATGGAAAACCTGGAAGCACTGGACGGCCGTTTCGTCCTAGTATGAGACTCCTCAACAGTGCGCATACACGATCCCACACCCCGCGAGATTCGAACTCAGGATCTATCATTATCGCGCCAGACGCCTAACCAACTATACCACTGAACCGGCACCCGACGGTGTTAATGTCTAACTTCAACCAATCCACGAAGTTGCGCCACCATACACCATTGTCTCGTGGGGTGAGGGATCTTGGATGCGCATTGCTGAGGAGTCCCATACTAGGACGAAACGGTCGTCTAGTGCTTCTAGGTTTTCCATGGTGGTCTAGTTTCAATTGACTCATGATTTCAATCAGTGAAATTTCTTAAATCTCCACATAACCTCTTCTGATAATATATATTTGCCAATGAATACGTTTTATTGGAAAGAAGTAAAATCCGTGAAAATTAGTAGTGGTAATAATACGGTATCTAATGAATGAATAGAAGTTGACAATGTAAAATTGTTTTATCGCAAGTTAGTTGTATAAAGTTATTGTGTTTGTTTGATGATAATCATAGACTCATACAGTTCTATCCTTGATGTGATTTTAGATGGATAAAACTATGAATTTTTTCTTTACATATTCAACCTTTTTTATGGTATATGAATTGCATTATGATTTATTCTTTTATAATTACATATTTTTGTACATCTTTGTGTAAATAACTATATTGAGCAGAGTTGAATAGAGGAAAGGCAACTACTTGATTTAATTTAATTCAAAATGGTGGTCTAGCTTCAACTGACTCATGATCTTAACTATTAAATTACTATAATATCCACAAAAACCCCTTTTTGATATTTATCAGCATATGCTCACTAGTGATTGACTTCAAGAGGTATGTTCTGGAGTTCTAGTGAGAAGCAGTGATCAGTGGAGTTCGACTGGGTCTGTTATGAGGTAGTAGCTCACTGATGACAATGGTGGATGTGTCGCTCAATTTCGTGGATTAGTTGAAGTTAGACATTAACACCGTTGGATACCGGCTCAGTGGTCTAGAAGATAGATAGATACTGGGTTCGAATCCCGTCCGTCAGGATCGTGGATGCGCACTTCTAAGAAGTCTCACAATAGGACGAAACGGTCGTCCAGTGCTTTCAGGTTTTCCATAGTGATCCAGCTTTAATTGACTCATAATCTTAAATTAATTCAAAATGTCAAATATTCAATAAATCTTTATTGCTAGTTTCAAAGATTGACATTATTATTATCCTTCTATTTTGGATATAGCAATTATTTGAAATTAATTTTGAAAAGTTCATCACTTTCTACTTCAAAGTAGTATGAGAAAATAAAAATTAACTATTCATTAAGTGTTTCTCGTTTTTCTTGAACTTAAACTGAAATAATTTTCAGATTAAGTAGATATTTCACTGGAAACGATTCTACTGTGAAGTAACTATCATGAACGATTCTTACTTAATTACATCTATTCCCCGCAATAGAACATAAGCCGCCGACCAGTATTCGCGAATGATTCAATGTCATAAAGTTCCAAAACAGTATTTGAAAAATTTATTCCATGATTAAGGACAAGTAATAGGGCGTTAGTTGATACATTGAAAAATATACTTGTTCACAAGTAGTCTGTTGACACATTAAGCATAACAACATATGATCATGCTATGGGAACAATGACGACTTTGTATTAATGCAGATCGTCATGTATAAAATAGGAATAAACTTATCGGATAACTAATAAGTTTGATTTTTCTAGGCATCACATGGATTCTTATATGAAAACTTTAAATAATCTGAGATAACCGACAGAAATTTACGTCTGATCTATATTCTTCCTCTTTATTGATCTTTATGTACAATGCATATCTTTGACCTTGTAGGTCATTCATAATCAAGTATTTCTTTTAGAAATAAACAAAATATCTAAAGCAAAATTACCGACCTCAGATAGAAACGATTCACTATACGTTTCTTATTTTTAAATACAGTGAACTGACTTTGAAAACAACAAATCAAAGTTGATTAGATAAGCTATAGTGTAATTAAGTGCACTATAAAACAGAAATCTGATCTGACAAGGTTACTGCTATAAGCATTAATGACAAGTATATCTCTGATACTATCCGGTTTATTAATACATGCAAACCATTACATAATACATTCTATTTAATACTTTACAATAATGTGTCTATGGCCCATATAGTATAATAATTATGTACACTTTTAGGTCGTTTGTTACAATGATTTTCACCACACAGTTGAAACACTCGTGCTATTATATGTATAGATACATTCATTTGTGTGTACATGTAAGTATATTTGTATGGATGAATTTAGGCATAATGAACATTCATTTACCATCTTCAATTTTGAATCTCGCAGGAAGCGGGGTCATGGATGCGCACTGTTGAGGAGTCCCACAATAGGACGAAACGGCCGTCCAGTTCTTTCAGGTTTTCTATGGTCCTCTAGCTTCAACTGATTCATGATCTTAACCAAATCAAGATGAATTTTATTACAATTTGTCTGTTTAATTGTTTTAACTTAGTAGAAAATTGTAATTTATCCAAATTTTCTACTGTTTCAGTAAGAATTTAAATGTGTATGTGTGTTTCCCTATGCGTACGCTGATATACAAGGAATGGAATAAAATGAACAATGAACATGTTTTATTGAAAAATATCCATAATTCAGTCAATCAATATTTTTTGTCAATTATAGATAAAATATTCATATTTCAGTGGATGGTAATTGTAAATTTTATAACTGCTTTTTGATTATATGGTTCAAAGTTATCATGGTTCAATCGGTACCTCAACAAAACTGTCTCATTTCTGTGTACACTTGTAATTGTGTGGCGATTTCGAACTTTAAACTACAATGAGACGGTTTTTCACCAACCGATGTCAAATATTGATAAAAATCATCATCAGGTTACCAGTTGATTGATTACCGAATAGTAACCACTGCCCTCTTTATTCAGAGCAATGCGATGACCAATAATCTAAGTGACTTGGCATCATGTACATCATGAATTAATGTTAAGTAGCCTGAGGTAGTTCGAAAGTAACCCTGTTTGGCCTAAGCGGTGTACTAATTTTGGCTCTTCAACAAGACGTACTCGAGAATTCGAACCTCTATGAGGAATATAAGATCCCTCAAGATTACAAGTGTACCGTGGCGAGAAGTGTCAATTAGCACAAAGGCTAGGTCAAACAAAGTTTTCTGCTAACTATATCTTAACACCCAAAATATCACTTGTTGATTTAAAGAATATGTATGAATCAAAGAAATTATTAAGCAATATAGAATTTCTTGATGGTAATACATTAAATATTTTAGATTCCCTTATGTTGATATAATTCACGAAGATAAAAGTTTAACAAAGATTTACTTTCATTTCATAATTGTAGTAAATCTACGTGACATTGTATAAAATGAAAGATGTTGAATATGATCATTGGATCTTAATACATAATAATTAAGCAATTTATCAGAATTAAAAATTTTAATGTGAATGATTCATAATGGATTGATCACTGGGTGGTGATCAATGTCATGCGTGTCTAGTCCTTATTAGTACAGATCGAATGCTATCGATCATGTTGCAATGTGGCCACCAGTCTAGGTGACTCGACACTGCTGGCACTATATATTGAGATTTAGATGGTGGTTGGAGGTAGTCTACGCATGACATTGATCACCACCCAGTGATCAATCAATTGTGATTACATCTCAGTCCTACAGGACGTCGGTCGCTGCTCGGATAGCTCAGTGGTAACGTCTCTGAGTGTGAAGCTGGGTGACAGGAGATCGAATCCACCAGGGAGCACTAGTTCCCTCAAGATTACCGGTACAGGTGCCAAGTAGCACGAAACCCGGGTTCAGGGTTTCCTGTTGACTACCTCCAACCACCATCTAAATCTCAATGTGAATGTTTGTTTAACATGGATTTTTCAAATGTTTATAATTGGTTTTCTGTATGTTTTGACCGATTTTTCATTAATACAAACTCATTTTATTAACAAATTATTAGTACCTATTGAGGTCATTTTTCGGGTTGAATATAACTTGATCAATAATTTTCTTTGTATTCAATCCTAAGTTAGGAAGGGGTATCCTCTAAAATTTTAATGATGTAATGAATACTAGATAGTGTTTTTTTTGTAAAATCTTTTGCTAAACACTAGAAGTCATCACTATAATATTGACTGATTTGGAAACATAATATAATTGCACCCATCTTGGAACCTCTAATTTTCTAGTTTCAGAACATAGATCTTGAATGGTGAGAAGTGTTTATAGCTAAGGTGAATGATTTTGTTGAAAATGAGTTTTCTTCGTTGTGTGCTATATTCTCAAAGTTATAACAATAGGACATTTCAAATCAGGAGCTAAATGGATAGTAATTTGGAAGCTTAGAACGAAAGCTAATGGGCACAAATTACGTAGGGAATATCAAATTTAGAATCTCACTACCTTTTTTAACAAGTCCTAAGTAGGATGAAATGTACATCTTCAGTTCCACCGAGAGCCTTAATCCATCTATTCTATATAAACTTATGAGGTTATTGTTTAAATGTACACCTTGGGGTCTATTTGTTCGTTTGATCAGCATATTAAGTCAATGTTATGACAGTGCTGATAATGATCCATACATCCATGTATATCATATTTTCCGATCAAACAGTAATTCACATCTTATC